TGTAAGTTTTGAGGTTTTCACGGCGATGACTATGAAGAAAGTCGTCTTCTGGGTTTAGGCGCCGTGTATTCTTCGTTTTGGCCGACGTTTCGGAGGAACGTATCGCCTCCATCTTCAGAGCAGTTGAATGGCAGTAGCAGCAGCTACTGCTCTCTGCATTCCAAGCCATTCAACTGCTCTGAAGATGGAGGCGATACGTTCCTCCGAAACGTCGGCCAAAACGAAGAATACACGGCGCCTAAACCCAGAAGACGACTTTCTTCATAGTCATCGCCGTGAAAACCTCAAAACTTACATAACAACAAAATGTGTTTTTTTTCCTCAGCTACAGGTGTCTGAAATGCCATCATTCTTTTTGATAGACCAAACTGGCGACACAACTCAGTCCAGAGCAGACTCTGTCTCCAGAGTCTGTAGCCAGCTGAGGATAACATCGCATGATTAATGGTTTGGCAATACGTGAGAAAGTTTGTACACTTGTCGCGCACTTTGCTCGATTTCAGCTTCAATTCTGCGACCTTCATGACAATATTCAAATACAGACTTTGCAGTGTTCTCGTAAGATAATATGACATATATCTGTCAACTAATATCACACAAGATTCTTTTTGCATTATCAAATGTCCCCTAGTGATCATCAGGTGCGAATTATATGGGCAGGATGATCTGTCTTAGTATTTCTACAAATTGTGATATCCGATTATTACAGTTTAGTCTATCCTGAATCACTGCTGAAGATCTGATGAAATCGTTAAGATTTAGGGCCACTTTGTACTGCAGCATAATAATAAAACGCGAGTGATGCCCTGAATAACGAGTATAGCCTTCACACGATAAGAGGGAGGCCAGAACCAATACGACACACAATCTGACGAAAGATCCCAGTATTTTAATTCTAATTATATTTTTAATGTTTATTCTTTAAATGTTAAATTTCAAACTGTGTTTGAACCACCTTTAAATCAAACTGTGTTTGTCAGTATAATATTCGCACAAACACAATACGAATTCATANGGCATTTCTTCCATGAATGACGAAAATCAAGAACTAGTACCAGTATTAATGTAAGTCTGAAGATGACCCAAGAAAAGGGTCGAAACCTGTAGTGTTAACATTAACAGCTAATAAAAACAAGTGTTGACACAGTAGTGTTCAGTTTGCCTCTTTCAGAATTATTGTTCTGTAGACTTGCCGTTCTGAGAAAAACGACTCATATCAGACATAGACAACCGACACGAACATCCAAAATCTTAAGATGCGACTACCTGCCCCTTCTTTGGAGAGAGAGGATTTCACGAATCTGCCGGTATCTA